GGCGACGACGGCGGGCTCGGGGCGGCGACGGGGACGGCGGGCTCGGGGCGGGCTCGGCGGCGACGGCGACGAGGAGCAGAGGCTCGGGGCAGGGGCGAGAAACAGATGGGATTTGGCGAAAACTGCTAAGTCAAGTATATATAGCAATAGCATTGGTCCCGTTTGGTGGCACCAACCGGGACTAATGCCACCTTTAGTCCCGGTTGGAGCCACAAACCGGGACCAAAGGCCTCTTTTCAGCAGCCCAAAGGGCGGGAAACGAAGACCTTTGGTCCCGGTTGGTGGCTACAACCGGGACTAAAGGGGGGGCATTGGTCCCGGTTGAAGCGACCAACCGGGACCAAAGATCGGCATTGGTACCGGTTGGTGCCTTGAACCGGTACCAATGGACCCGTGTAACTACTTTTTTTATTTTCTGCAGCTATTTTTTTTTTGTTGATTCTTCCTGCAGCTGTTTTTTAGTCCCACCTTGCCAAGCGAGAGGCACTCGCAGCTGTTTATAAGCCCTGAGTGCAGAGACGATGACGAAGAAGCTCAATGCTCCTGCACGTTGGTTAGCTTCAAGCCTTGAGGAATACGGTAGACTGCACAGAGCTATGTGCAGTGCAGTTGACACTATTTCGAAAGGCTTGAAGCAAATTAACGAGCATTGCGCCTCTTTTTTATTTTTAATGGCTTATTACAACTCAGAAATAAAAAGAAAAAAAAGAGCATATATGCTTATTTTTAATGACTTATTACAACTCAGAAATAAAAACAAAAGAATAAATATAACAAAAAAGAAAAAAATATAGAAAACAACTCAGAAATGAATAGAAGCAAAAAATAGTTGTGATTAACTGTACTAAAAAGGAGCATATATGCTTATTTTTAATGGCTTATTACAACTCAGAAATAAAAAGAAAAAATAAATATAGCAGAAAAAGAAAAAAGAAAAAACCACTCAGAAATAAATAGAAGAAAAAATAATTTTGATTAACTTTACTAAAAAATAGCATAAATGCTTATTTTTAATGACTTATTACAACTCAGAAATAAAAACAAAAGAATAAATATAACAGAAAAGAAAAAAAATTATAGAAAACTACTCAAAAATGAATAGAAGCAAAAAGTAGTTGTGATTAACTGTACTAAAAAAGGAGCATATATGCTTATTTTTAATGGCTTATTACAACTCAGAAATAAAAAGAAAAAAATAAATATAGCAAAAAAAGAAAAAAAAACTACTCTGAAATGAGCAGAGATGCGCTTATAGAGGAAATTCAACTTAAATTAATAACGAATTTCAAGAGAAATCCGTATGAATTTATGCTAAATTACCTATGTAAGCGCATCTATTTTCATTTTCAGAGGAGCTCAATAAGGTAGAGAGGGAGGGGCTTATAAACCGGTCCGATTCCCCTTCGGTTGGCGAGGTGGGACTAAACTCTGGTCGCAATGGGTACCAACCATTTAGTCTCGGTTGACGGCTCGAACCGGGACTAATGGGCAGCCCATTGGTCCCGGTTCAAGCCACCAAACGGGACCAATGGTGTTGGGCCAGGAGCGAGGCCCATTGGTCCCGGTTCGTCCCGCCAACCGGGACCAATAGGTTCAGACGAACCGGGACCAATGGGCCACGTGGCCCGGCCGGCTCCCGGGGCTCACGAACCGGGTCCGATGCCCCCATTGGTCCCGGTTATGGATTGAACCGGGACTAATGGGCTAGAGTGGCCTGGACCATTGGCCCCTTTTCTACTAGTGATAGGTACTGGTGACCAAGGACATGACCTTACTTTACTCCTTTTATTTACTCATGAAAGAACCCTGAAAAAATGTACTCCCTTCGTCCCAAAATAGACCTACTTATGTTATGGAAATGAATAGACCTACTTATGTTATGGGGTCGCCTTGTCTCAAGCCACGACCATTCTTGAAACAGGGGCCCACAATCTCATTGATGAAGATGGCAGTGTGCATCACAAATTAGTTGCACAACCCGGTGAACATAGCCAGAATTGAAACCTCTAGTGAAGAGAATATCACAAAGGAAAGACCAATGAACACAATTATATGCTTTTTCGAAATCAAGCTTGAGGATGACCACCTTGCGCCCCAGTTGTGGATGTCACGGACCAGTTTTCATGTAGTTCAAAGGATACAGTCAAGAATAACTCTCCCCTTAACGAATGCACACTGAGTCTGGCTAATGAGCTTATGAGCAACCGGAGATAGTCTAGTAGCAAACGCCTTGAAAGAGAATTTGGCAATGTTGTTAATGAGCGCGATGGGTCTAAAAAGGTGGATGTTATCAACACCCTTAACTTTTGGAATGAGCATAAGTATCACATAATTGAGGCCTTTAATATCCACCATACCCAGACAGAAATCCTCCATAGCTTTATATAGGAGGGTCTTAAGCAAACCCCAAACCTTCTTAAATAACGGAATCAAGAAGCATCAGGGCAGGAGCCGAAGAGGAATTGGAGGAAGAAATAGCCTCATCCACAAGAGTGAGGAATCATCAAGACGTCGTTATCAGCATAAAAAATACAACGATCAGGACCCCAAGCTTGAGGGTCAAACATGAAGCTGGAAGGATGCTGAAAGCTAAGCAAAAAGGAGTAAAAATTGTAGATGTGAGCAGTAACCGCATGTGGGGTCGGTGACCATGACATCATTAATGATCAGCAGATCAATGTAGCGGTGACGTCTACGACCGTTGGAAAGACCATGGAGAGGTATGCCATGTTAGCATCACCCTTGAACATCCAATTGAGGTAGCCCCTTTGTTTCCAATAAATCTTCTTTTGATGATGAATGGACACCAAGTCCGCTTCCAGATCATATTGTTGTTGCCATTTGATGGCATCTAACTCAAAGGAATCAGCCACAATGTCCAAGCTTTTGACCTTATCAAATAAGACTCATTTGGGATTGTTTAATCGTTTGGGATAACCCATAGGGGAGCTCGCCCTTTGCCCGGGCAGGGTGGCGGGGGCTAGGTCTGGCCAGCCCAGGAAGGTCTCGGAGTTGGGGGCCTTCTAGAGGTGGGAAAGGAGGGGCCTTTTCCGCTCATCTCTTTGGTCATTGTGGTGGCAGGTCTAGGGTGGGGTGGTGTTGGGGTCATGGATGCCAGGGCGGTGCCTTGGTGGTGGGAGTCACGGTGCCCATGGGCGGAGCTCGTGGCTCGGGTGTTAGCTGGCTGCCATGGTCATGCGGGAGGCGTGGTGGCATGCGTGCGACGGCCGGTGACGGTGGTGCGGCGAGCGTGGCTTGGTGTACTCTGTCTTGGTGATGAAGAGGGTTGTCGGGGTGAAAACCTTCTTTAGCCTTGGCAGGTCGATGGTGGCGGCGCCTGTGGTGTCTTCTCCTTCTTGAAGGAATCGTCACGGTTCTCTTCATCCCCTTTGTTTCTTCGGGGGAAACCATGATCCCTGGATCAATCAGCGGTGGCACTCCTGTGTCGTATCTTTCCTGAAGGCGTCGCCTTGGAGCACTCGGCTCGTCATGCATGACTTCGTATCTTCGTGGTGGCTTCTTCACCATAGAGGGCCCCGGAGGTCTCAAGCGGTGCCCTATCTTCCTACATGTAGATTGCTTGGGGTAGTAGGGGGTCGTGTTGTTGCTCCTAATCACCCATGTATCTTGCCTTGAGTGTGTGTGGTGGTGTGGAGTTGACTGTGTTGAGTTGTATGTTTGGTTGTTGCTTTATATATAAAGCACGACACGAGCCTTTTTCTATATAGAAGTCAATGTTCTCCTTTCTAATGTAGTCACGCAGGTGGTTGCAGCGCTCCCTAGCACCGAAAACCACGCATATTCCAAAAAAGGATTCTCGTATGCCCGAGAGATTGCGGATGTAGATGTGCTAGATCTAAAGAGCTTCCGGCCCTCAAGCCTGCGCCAGCGAGGTTTCTTTCCCTCAGACGCCGGTTGGCCACAACCACCAGGCCTCAGGGGATAGGAAGTCGAGGCATTCATCTCAGCAGCATGTTTCTGATTGGTTTGTTACTTATGAAAAACCCATGGCCTTTACCCAACCAAATTCATTGACATGATCTGGTTGAAGAAAATGTATTGCTTCTTCTCTGATTAACTATTCATTTTCTTTAGGGCAATCTGCAGCACGAGTATACAAGTGGCAATTGTGTGCCCTTGGAAGGTCCTGGAGTAAGGCAGGAGCTGATTGCACTTCTCATATACCTGAGACTCTGCATGTTCTTCTCAAAGGAGCATTATGAAGTGTTCCTAGAGTTTGGTGGATATGAGCAGAATGATATTCTTATAAGGAAGTCCAAGGCAAAGGTATGTGTCACACTGAGCCAAATTTCTGATCATCTTAGCACAGATTGTGAACTGGAAATGTCTTATAGTAAATCTTGTGCGGCTATGCAGCTTATGAAGCCTACGTTCACGGTTGTTCGCGACGAAAGTACCAGATGCTTCCTCCTTTTTATCCAGGGAGCTATCAGTGTTAAGGATCGCCTGACGGCAGCAACTGCGGCAGAGGTTCCGTTTCATCATGTTGTGTCACAAGAAGGCCGTGGATCATGTATAGTTGTTGGGCATGCACATTGTGGAATGGTTGCAGCAGCTCGCTGGGTTGCGGATCAGGCCATTCCCTGCCTTAGTAGAGCAGTCGAGCGATTTCCAGACTACAAAATTAAGGTAAGTAACTAAATATTTTCTGAACTTCCGAAAATGTGATTTCCATTTGAATGCTTTTCAAAACTAGAGTTGTAGAAGACCTTACTGAGTCAACTTTCTTAATGGTATTTTTGGTATTTCTCTTGGTAGTACGAGTCAACTTCACATTAAAGTAGCACATATTTGAAACTAAAAGGCAGTGGCAGATCTAGGGGTGGGGTGGTGGGGGCCATGGCCCCCACAAACAATTTGCAGAACATTGTTTACTAGTGCATTCATATGTATATTCAATACTTTATTAACTATTTGTAATGTGTTTTGACAAAATAAACTGCTACCCTTTGTAATGTTGCCCCCACATTGGTCAAATTCTAGATCCACCATTGCTAAAAGGTAATGCAGATTACATAAGGACTCCTCGAGATAAACTCTCACAAAAAAACATTGCTGCATCAAGATTTTTGCTAACTAAAATAATATTATCATTGTTTCATTTTAGATCATTGGGCATTCCATGGGTGCTGCTATTGCAGCTATTTTAACATGTATACTACGTGAGAACAAGAAGTTATCATCATCTGCATGTATTGCCTTTGGACCAGGTATTGTGCTGTAGTCAATTCCAGATTGAAAATTGACCTTTAAACAAATGAATATCAAGAAAAAGCACTGCATGTCAATCGAATACTACGTACCTCTGTTCCTAAATGTAAGATGTTTTTGCAGTTCTATTACATTTAGGAACAAAGGGTGTACGTAATGATGCACCACTTGCACTGTTAAGAAACAATCGTTCATTTAAAAAAAGGTCTGTGTGGAAGCATTGCTTGCACAAATACGAAACGAATACTAAAAAGCTCAAGTATGCTGAACACCGGCATTGGCATTGTCACCCGAAGCAACTAATATCTGCAATGATGTCATAGTCCCTTCTTTTTGGTTCCAAAAATTGCTTATCGATATTTTGTTACATATGTAGTACTCCCTCCGTTCCTAAATAATTGTCTTTCTAGAGATTTCAACAAATGACTACATACGGAGCAAAATGAGTGAATCTACACTCTAAAACATGTCTACATATATCCGTATGTTGTAGTCCATTTAAGATGGCTAGAAAGACAATTATTTGGGAACGGAGGGAGTATAACATGACATTACGAACTGCTTTTGTCCAGCTGCTTGCATGAGCTGGGACTTGGCTGAGTCCAGCAAAGACTTCGTCACCACTGTTGTCAATAAAAATGATCTGGTCCCATCTTTTGGCAAGGTCTCAGCCGCTGAACTTCGTACAAAGGTACCCCATACAAAAATACTTCTTACTCATTTTTCTTTAAACCCTGACCACATGTTCTCATATAGTGATGTGAATAAGAATGAAATCTTTAAATTTGTGCGTTCCTTCCATAGCTAAAATGCAATGAGTTGGTTGTCTCACTTCTTTTTTCATCTCATGGTGAACAACAATGAGCTGGTTAAAATAAAAGCGAAAAATGTCTCAGTAAAAACAACTTATTAGTGCAGAAGCAACATAGATCATACGTTTGCATTTGGTATGGAATCTCTGCAGGTCATGGCATCATCCTGGGCACCTGGTCTCCAGGAACATATTCAGCAGAAAAGACTCCTGAGTTTTATGAACCACTCTGTGGACTTCATGCGATCCTACATCCCTTTTGTATCCAGTCCAAGTTCTAAGGTTGCAGATGTTGATATGCTGCAACCTTGGACTGCTAAGGTACTTGATTCTTTTTCTAACACAAAACAAACTGGTGATGCAACATCAGATGTTCATCTTTGTATTTGGCTTACAAATCCAGGCTGAGATGAAGCATTCAGAAGGCGTGCATGAAGTAGTGAAGAAACATTCTGCCCTATCCTGCTGGCCATATGTTGCTACAAAGAGTCAAACTTCTGATAAAGCTGAGAAAGGAACAGATGGAGAACACATGGAGCAGCTCCTGGAAGCCCTGCGATCACCGTCGAGTACCTCTCAGTCACCTCGGCATCGCCAGTTGTACCCCCCAGGAAGAATCATGCACATGGTTGCATTGCCAATATCAGAAGAGCAAGGCAGACAGAGTGAGGGTGTTGCCCTCTACGAGACCCCTCGCGACATGTACAACAAGATCCGACTCGACGGATCAATGATAAGGGACCATTACATGCCTAGGTACATTGAGACGATGGAGATGCTCATCGACAAGCTTGCAGAGGATGACGCGCCTCCCAGTGACTCCAACGACGTCCGGTTGGACTAACTTTAAAATAAAGTACTAGCCACGCCTTCTGAGAGATTTTGTAGGAAATCCTGTATGCGATGATGTTAAATTTTTAACTGCTAATTTTTTAACTAATTGCTCGGTTGTTATTTGTTTGTTTGATGTTTTATATTATAGTGTATGTATAAATATCAAGCTGGTGCGGACAGTGGAGAGTTTCATGAAGAAAGCTTTATGGCATGAAAAAGTTTATTCATTTTAAATAAGGGGATACATTTTGATATTGCATACTACGTTCCTATTTCTTCGGTTATTCATGTCATCCCTATTCGACCGCCCGCTGGATTGGTACCTGTGATGAAATGATAGAGAGCTTGTGCAAATTCTTGGACATGGTTTTCTGGCGGCTTGGTATAGGTGTACATCACTATCTGGTCATTAATATGTGTTCTCTGTGGATACATATGCAATGGAATGACATCTGAAAAATTGTCATAGATTTTGCCAGAATTTTAGTTTGCCTTGTGATTTTTTTTTTCTGCTGAGAAGCCACCTTTTGATGGGCCATGTTGAATTTCACTATTTGGTTCGGGCCCATTCTTGAGTTCTAAATAAGCTTATTTTCACATATTCTATAATTTTAAACTATCGGTCATGTAATTATACGAATATTCTACGAGCTTCAGACCCCTCGGCTACGCCTAGGCTAATAACGGACCAGACATCCCCGAAGGGACAAGTTGGTCTTGACCAAATGTTTTTGTCCGATGACTCGGGTTTGAAGATCAAGATCGAAATAATGTTCCTCTTTAGGACAACTGGCAACGACTTACTTGGAGTAAGCCTAGGCGTTCTTCAACATCACTCAAAATTCATGATACACTTCCTCGCAAGCCACCACAAACGGGCAAGTTCGGTATCACTGAGCCTTTGTCACAATTTGCCTACAACTAACCTTTTCAGGTCATCAATCGAGTCCATAAAGGCATCTCCATAGGAGATTTGAGGACTCTTACAGTTGGTCTAACCGAACCAGACCTTCCTCAATGCGAAGGAATCGGCGCCATCAGCGAGACCTTGAAGAACTCGGGGGCTACTGACGGCAGGATCCCGGGGTAGGCCCATAATGAGGATACGACCCAACAGGCCCTCACTGCCAAGCCCTCTTAGAGAAAATAACTCGGCTGGGCCGACATCCTTAAGCCCATCTGGGTATAACACACCATGATGTTCATCCGACTAAGCCGATCGTGGGGTGTTAAAGATTGACGTTACCAACGATGCCATAAAACCTCAGTTACACCACGATGTTATCAGGACCCTGGTAACGACCAACTTAACTACACCCTTAACAGGATGTGGCCATAATGACATTGTATTCTCTGCTTCGTCACTCCTATATAAGGCGAAGTCGGAGTAGAATCTAGACAAGCACATTAGAATCACCGAGATCCAGAGGATCACTCACTCATCATATTGTAAACACATTGTTCATACAAGAGAGAAACATCTAGCAGGAGTAGGGTGTTACCCTAGAACAGGGGGTTGAACCTAGATAAAACCTCTACCATGGTAAAACCTGGACATATAATTCCCGTCTTATAAGCAGTCTTCTTTTTCCCAACATAAGTGACAATGGCATATTTGAGTATGTGCAGCACGTCTGTATTGTACATGCTAATTTTGTTTCTCTTGGCAAATTAATCATTTTAGGTTTTTTGGTTTGTTTCATTTTTTATTCTCATCACTAAAACTGAATTGGAATCAAATCAAGCAGTAGTCGACATTTGCCAAATAAATTGATTGCAAACCAATTAGAGGCCTAAAATTTGCCCCCCAAATCGGTAGGTACGAAGGCTGTAATCCAAACAACATCAACTTACCAATTTTTTTTCTTGCATGATCAAGATAGCCCTTGAATCCTTGATATAATTTGCTTATGTCAGTAAATTGAATCTAGAAATCACATATGAAAGGGACTAATCAACTTGTAACACCCTTGTCCTAATTTTAACTTAGATTCTTCAGGATAACCTGAAGTATGCTTGTCTAGCCTATAACAATGTTGTAGCATAAACATATTTGTTATTGGCAATTAATTCCATTGATGAAAGTAGCATTAGTATCAAGCAAACTGTTCAATTTAACTCTGACCATCGACAAAGTTGAAAATTAATCTCATTCAAGTTCTTCCCTTTTGTACCGAGCTATAGAACCAAGGGTTGGGCATACGCAATCTTGATAATTGGCCTTGGGTTTAAACTCTATGGACCCAAGTGGTTTATTTGGTTCATTATCTCTGTCCATTTTACACTTTATGTGTACATCATTGAGTTGATCTATTGTTTTCTTAACTTCAAGCTTGATTTGTAAAACATGTATTGGTAACAAAGCAATTAAAAAATGAATCCATATATTGTTAAGGTTTTTAAGTTTTCCTACAGATTATTCTCAGTGAAAATATCATTTTATTATCTTTGCAAAAAAAGCATATAAATGAAAAATGTGATATTGTGTAGTAACAATAATGTTTTTTTTGCTTAGCAGGTTTGCTAAAGCTAGCCGATAAAAATGTTCAAAGAAGTTGATGGTGGAAGTTTTAGTAGAGTAACTATTTCAAGAAGAAGACATTTTGCTATGGATCAGTCACACATGAGCTTGATGGAACAAAATGCTATTCTTGCTGGATTTCTGGCCGTAGTTTGCATTTTTTTATGTTAAAACCGTGATTAGCACACCTCAGTAGTGTTATGTTATTTCTGCAAATTGACATGTGTAACTCATGGTTAATGTATGTGATTGGGTTGAAGTGTTTTTTTTTGCTGATTTGTGTGTATTTCCTGTTTTCCCCTTAAAATTCCAGAGTTATTCTCTACCTTCCTGAGTTTTTTGTACCTTCCTGAATTTCCTAGATTTTTTAAGGAAATGTTTTTTTTAATTACTTCTGAATTGATATGATGTTTCTAAAAAGAAACTAGAGTCAATTTTCATTATTTTTGAATATTAATTTTTTCTAAGAAATTTCGCACTGCCTTATCATTCCTGGACGTGATATTGTCTCCTCTCCCCTGTCGTCCAAATTGGCATGGTGATCTCCCCATGGTGGGAGAGGATCCCTTGTGGCCATGGAAATACCCCCGAAGGGGATTAGAGCCCTTGAGTACTTCCCCCCTTGCAACCAAATTAGGCATGTCAGTGACAAACCCCCCCTTTGTGGCCTTCACCCATGTTTTTGGTTCATATATCTTCTTCAGGCATCTAATAAAACTAGAAGGGTTGGGCGCGCTTTGCTGCGCCGTTGTTATTGTTAGGATTCTTAAAAAATTACTCACTCTGTTTCAGAATAAAAGGTGTATTACTTTTTTGAAAACTCAAACCTCTTTAAGTTTGATCAAATTTGTAGAGAAGTATATGAAAATATATAATATCAAATTGGTTTCATTAGATTCATCATGAAATAAATTTCCTTTTTTGTTAATATCGTGGATGTCGATATTTTTGGCTCTAAACTTGGTCAGAGTTAAAGAAATTTGGCATTCCAAAAAACTAATAACCCTTATATATTGAAACTAATGGAATATTTACTTTGGCGTATGAGGGAGTTGATGCAATGTGTTTTATGTTTATTTATAATGCAGTTATTTGGTGGCCCTTTCGGTGTGACCCTATGTTATCCGCGAATCAACCCATATTTATATGCACAAATTTTGCGTATGTGGCTACATGTATGATGACCCACAAGTATATGGGATCTATCGTAGTCCTTTCGATAAGTACGAGTGTCGAACCCAACGAGGAGCACAAGGAAATGACAAGCGGTTTTCAGTAAGGTATTCTCTGCAAGCACTGAATTGTAGGTAATAGATAGTTTTGTGATAAGATAATTTGTAACGAGTAACAAGCAATGAAAGTAAATGAAGTGCAGCAAGGTGGCCCAATCCTTTTTGTAGCAAAGGACAAGCCTGGAA